GGAGCCGGGATGCGCGGCAGCCGCGTCCCAGCAGGACCCGGGGGCGTGGGAGAAGTTATCCCTGTAACTCCACGACCGCGGTCCCTCTTCATATCGCTGCAGTCGGGGACGGACAGCGTGTGGAAGGAGCGGGTGATAGGCAGGGAGAGGGTCACAGCATCTTTCTTCGGTCCTTTTCTAGGAATGGAGAAAATAAATTTCTCGGGAGGGGAACCATTTCTTCAGGACAGAGGCGAATTTGTAGGCCAACTGGTCCAGTTTTGCAAGCAGGAGTTGAAGCTACCGAGTGTCAGCATTGTGAGCAATGGCAGCCTGATTAAAGAACGGTGGTTCAAGAAGTACGGTAAGGAAAAAACCCAAACCACTGTGCAGGGAAGCACTGGTGGGGTTTGGGAGCCTCCTCGGGGCAGCCTCACCAAAAGATGGTTTTCAGTGCAAGTGGGAGATGGTTTGTTAGTGGTTCATCTTCAGTTAGCGCAAACCAAACGTAAATACCAGTGAAATACTGGTAATTGTATGTTGTGAGCATAGGCACTTTGTACTATTGCCTCGTTGGTATAATAATACACCGGGCTGTCTCCATAACGCTGGGGACACACACGAAATACGTGTTTTGATGATGCCGCTGTTGTGACTTTTGTGGTTCAAGTGATGACTCCACAGACTTAAATTTACATGGCACTTTGTGAGAGAAAGTGAAAGTGGGCAGGTTCCTGAAAGCTTTTAAGTGAACAACTGAATATTAATCAATTTTAAAACTTGTTTTCAGGTGAATATTTAGACATTCTGGCAATTTCCTGTGATAGTTTTGACGAGAATGTCAATGTTTTAATTGGCCGTGGTCAAGGAAAGAAGAACCATGTAGAAAATCTGCATAAACTGAGACAGTGGTGCCGAGACTATGCTGTTGCTTTCAAAATAAATTCAGTGATCAACAGATTTAATGTTGAGGAAGATATGAATGAGCAGATCAAGGCACTCAACCCTGTGCGCTGGAAGGTAAGAAAATGGTGTATACCATCGGTTTCCTGTTCAGAGAAAAGCAATGATGAAGTTCTGGAGCTGTCTGAACGTCTAGTCACCTCAGTCAGATCTACAGTCTCAGCTCTGGCTAGCGTTAGTGAACTTCTTGTCAGCACTACATGATATATGTTTCAACATACCTAGATCTAGTTTTTTACAATATTAAAAGATAGGTCTTTAACATTTGAAAATGTGTCATGGTGTTGAGAAAATGAGGAAAAGTTAGTGTACAATGATACATTAGAGTTAATACATCAGCATTTAGACATTAGACATTAGACATTAATGTTCTGTTATAGAGTATTAGTGGTTAGTGTGCATATATTATATTTTCTACTAGAAGTGTATTAAATACATTACGTTACCAGTATGAAAATGGGTAGAGATAATGTAACTTATAAATATGGGAGAACTTGTGGAATCATTTCTCATTATTTGCTTCATTGAAATTAATATACATGCATGTTTTCCCAGAAAAAAAAAATCACTGTGAAATCTTGGTCCTACTAAAGGAGTGTAAGGAAAATATGACGTACATTTTAATATTTTATCAAGCTTCCTGGCCTACTTTCTTACTGAGGTTACAGAGCAGGTTGATGGCAAAGGCACCTTTTTCCCCCCCAAAGTCTGAATGTAGTTGAGGATTTGGCCATTAGGAAGAGGCTGTTAAGTACACAAACTATTGCATTTTGTTTCTGGGGAGTGGTCTTTATCTTTTCTGTGACCATCTGAAGCTAGTTAAACTTACAGTCACAAATCAAGTTAAAATCTTTAAAAATACAGATTGACTTGATAGTCGGCACTGTACATAGTATTTACATTTATAATACAGTCATACTATTTGAGGTTCAATCAAAAGTTAATTTGAGCTTTTATTATATAAAGACAAGAGCAGCTAAGATTTCTGTGGAAACCTGGTCAAGAACCATGACTGTGTAATTACATTTAGCACTATGTAATGTTAATTTGCTAAAAATAAATCTGCACTGTGCCCTTCATGTAGTGTTCACTTACCACAATTTGTATCAGTGTGACTCCACTGACAGAACAATTAAAGACATTGCTGCTGGGAGAACTGAACGTTTTTGTCATGGTGGCAGTCTCTTATACTCAAGGCAAGTGAAAACATTAAAGCTTAACCAGGTGCCTTCTGTCTTCAGGTATTCCAGTGCCTGCTCATCGAAGGGGAGAACACCGGTGAGGATGCCCTGAGAGAAGCGGAGAAATTTGTTATTAGCGATGAAGACTTTGAACAATTCCTGGAGCGCCACAAAGATGTCTCCTGTTTGGTACCTGAATCTAATCAGAAGGTAAAAGTGAAACTGTCCTTTTTTAACTTTATTTTCAAATAAAGTTGGAAAGATGGAAAGGAACTAGAAGCCTTCATGGCAATTAACATTTTCCCTATTAATATTGGCTTAGAAAATTTACATTCCAACTTTGTCAGCAACTGGCTTTGTTATGGTGGAAGCTAAAGTTTTTAATTTTCTTTAAGGCTTTTTACTGAGCACAAAGTTATTCATAGAAGAGTAAAACCTCATTGATCCCAATCCTGTGGAAACCAGCGGGAGTCCTCTCATAGCGCCGTGTGGACCTCTGCTCAGTGAGACAGATGTATAAAGTATCAGCACGGAACCTGGAGAAACTGAGTTTTCCACAGCTGAGTGGTAAACTCAGTTAAACCCTCCAGAATTTAACGACTTTTCCCAGCTGGGGCACAAGAACCCAATAAGGTTGAATATTAATGTAAACACACTTGATACTCTTAGCATAGTTTCCTAATAGAGATTTACCATGATGTTACGCTATAGCAGTGTCATTGACCTGCATGAAATAAAGACATCATCTCAGTCAGCATTATATTGGGTATGGAGGAACTAGTATTTTTGTCTGACACATCTTGCTAGTAATTCTCCCCACAATAGTCACATTTTTAACATTGTCTACCTGAACTCCTTTGAACTGCACATTCACAAGAAGAGTCCTTGTGTTCCTGCAGAGTTCAGCGGTTAATTTGATGGTCTGCCACCCAGCCTATGTTAGCTGCAGTAAAAGGGACTGTAGTGCCTCAGAACATTTTGTAAGATGCGTATAGACCCTATGCATGGTATAAGAAGAGTTAGAAGACTCACTGTTAAGAAAGTTTAGGAACTGAGTGAGGAGATACTAAGTTAAACTAAGTTCAGGAAT